CACTCTCAGCAACATCTTTGATCTCATCACATGAAAAATATATACTTCAAACAAAGCTAAGACATGCCAAATTTTAGACATGCATAACTTAATGATAATAAAAAGACATCAAAAGAAGATAGATTATTTACATTCAAAAATGGAACCTTCATAAAGATTAGCTTCCTGATAAATTATATATTTTAGATTGCATTAAGAAGAGAGTTCATGTTTACCTATCGTAGCCAATTAGCCAACGCATATAGCAACTTTAGCAATTACCCTTAGATTACCTCAATTTTGTGGGAGATTAAACAACTGACTGAATGTTATATACCATTACATGATACCATCGAATAATTTTTGTTATGAAGTTAAAGATTCCAACGATTTTCATAATCAATTGCAAGGGATAAAACCATTATAAATGCACATACTCACTTAACTGAGATGGTATGCTATATTCTAGATTTCATTTACAGTAATTAAATAAGGGTGTCCATTTTTAGTATAATAATTGCAAGATTTATCATCATGTAAATTAGCAACAGGAAAGACTAAAAGGAACAAGTATCATGGGAACGCACTAACACCCTATAAAGCACCTTGTTGTTGTTTCTCCAGCAAGAAAAATCGTAGTGAAAAATAAAATGTAGAATAAGTCAACTTTATCTTGCTTGTGAACTCTAACAACATTCTTCAACCTCCTAAATTCAAGCGCTATCAAATTGGCCCATAACCACTAATAAATTGAATGCTACAACAAAAAATTACCATCGATGTTCATACATGATGCAAATCCGTGAATTTGAAATAAAAACATATCAATTTTCTTACATGTACATCATCATCGACTAAGGCGGTATGGTATTCCTTTGAGTCTGATTTTGCGTCATCATCAACATTGTCAGCTTCAGCATCATCGATATCATCTTTTCTGTCCTCATTGAGAGTGTGGTTATCTTCCAGTTGTTGAATTTCTAAAAAACATAAATTATTCAAATTGTAAACCTAATTATATAAATTCCAAACCCATGAAGAAATAAATTAATGCGTGAAATTTGAAAAAAAAATAGAAAATAAAAAAAATAACTTGCCTTGTATTTTGGCTTTGATATTGTCAATGGTGTCATTGGATTCGACCTCAAGGGTTATAATTTTCTATTTAGAGATTTCACCAAGATTTGCATTTTCCTCTCTACTGATAGAATTTTTAATTTGAGATTGGGCTAATGGGCATGTTTTGTATATAATGTGAAAAGTGAAAATTACAACACACCTACTTTAAAAATCCAGAATTCTAAAATCAGGTTGGATATTATATATATTAATTAATATACCATATTTTATTCCAAACCCTAATTCATTTTCTTCTTCTCTTTCTTCTATCTATTCTCATCTTCCTTACTATACTCTCTCCTCCCTCTTTTCCAACAACATCACTCTCTACCCTCTCTGTTGATGATGCAACCTCGCACCATCGCCGTGAGATAGTACGGCATGGCCTTGCGAGATACCACCTCCACAAGATGCTGCAGCCTCGTACCACCTCCCATCTCTAACGTTGCTATTGCTTTCCTCCCTTGAAGCAACATTGCAGTTACGCGTAGGTCTCCCATTAGTCATCAACAATGCGAGGGCCACCGCTTAGGACCATTGCCACCGCTACATGTAGAGCAGTGCATCCAACTTCAGCCTAGTGGGGCTTTCCCTTCAGTTCATAGAGGTGATGAATTTGGGGTTTTGTGATTTTGGGTGATTTCTCTTCTTCTCCGATTTGTTTAGTTGGGTATTTTTTATTGGTTGGTGGTGGTTGTTGTGATGGTGTGGTGCTTGGTAGTGATTTTACGGTTGTTGTGGTGTATGGTGGTAGAATTGCTGTGGTGTATAGTGGTAGTTTGTGGCTGCTAGTATTGTAGTTGCTATGTCTGGTGAGGTAGTGGTGGTGTTAGTGGTGACGGTGGTGGCAGTGGCAGCAACGACGACGGTGGGGTGTTTGTGGTGGTGTTGTTGGGGAGGTGGTGTGGTGGTTCTGATGATGACAGTGATGGTGCTTGAGACAGTGGTTGAAAGTGGTAGGCGTCATGTGACCATTAAATTGGTTAGTCAGTGACCAATAAACAATATGTGATTAATGAAAAATATAAATTGCAATCAAGATATAATTTGTGATCTAAAAAATTGTTAATTTGTGATCGGAAATTTGATAATTTGTGACTGTATAATAAGTTATGATTTAAAATATTTGTGATTTATGACCAATATGTAAATTGTGACTTATAAATTTTTTATTTGTAACCAATGAACAAATCGTAATCTATAACATTTTTGAATTGTAATCTTAAAATAATTTATGACATATAAAAATTCTGATTTGTGATCGAAAAATAATATGTGATTAACTAATATGACATTAATATATTTAATTAATGAATTAATTAAATCATAAACAAAATTTAATAAATAACTGATTTTTGAAATTTGAAACCTTTTTATTTTTGAAATAGGCCATATTAACTTCTCAATTATAAATTTTTCCCATGTGAAAAAGGTGTATATTTGGTTGGAAATGACGCAAATAGTGGAAAAATTAAACTTTTTGCAACAAATATTTTACTGTAGCAAAACATAGATCCTAATTCATCACAAATACTTTGTTGAAATAAAAAAAAAAAAAAAAAAAAAAGAAGAAGAAGAAGAAGTTTGTTGCCATAAGTTTCCCACCAAAAACTATTTTGGCGCCATGCTTCCAAAAAAAAAAAAAAAAAAAATTTTTTTTTTTTTTTTTTTTTTTTTTTTTTTTTTTTTTTTTTTTTTTTTTTTTTTTTTTTTTTTTTAAAAAAAAAAAAAAAAAAAAAAAAAAAAAAGAAGAAGAAGAAGAAGTTTGTTGCCATAAGTTTCCCACCAAAAACTATTTTGGCGCCATGCTTCCATCATTTTTTTTGACAATCTTTATTATTTGTTGCACATTTTAATATTTTACAACAACTTTTTATGTCGACTTATATTTTTTTGGGACTTTTTTTTTTTTCCACACAACCTTTCCGATAAATTTTAAAAATGTGTCGTGCTAAATCACTTTTTGTGGCAACATTTTTTATGTCGCGAAATATCTTATTGCTAAATCACAATTTTTTGTACAGGGAATAGACACAAACTAAAATTGCTCGGACGAAATTTTATATCCATAAATAATTCAAATGAAATTTAATTTCAGCAAAATAAAAACATCAGAATATTTTGAAGACAGAATAGAATTTTAGAAATGATTTTTTCTTGAATTGATAGGGTGTAATAAATTTGACATTAGGGGCCCCATTTATAGATTTTCAAGTGGCTTTTTGAAGTTGTTGCATCTTTTTACATTAATTAATGTGGATCATTGAATCACACATTCATGACATTTTATAATGTACATTTTCGAATAGTCACACCCAATCCAAAATGAAATGACTCCTTGATATAAGCCATTTCCATTTGATGAGTCACGACTAATCATCACACTAATTTAAGATTTTTCCAATTCACACCCATAAAAATTGTCCCATAAATTCCAACCGGTTCTCCACAAGCTAGCCCGACAATTCAGTGGTGGAATGAAGCACGCTTTTGTCGTCAGCCATTGCGTGGACATTATGTAACTTAGAGTAACGCCACCATATTGAAATTTAGTCTCTGTTTTATACCCATTATTTCGAGAGAGAGAGAGAGAATTTGAAATAATATTTGTAGAAAAATGTGTGGTTAAAAATACAAAAAATTTATGTGCAAAATATTTTATTATGTGAGTATGTGATTGAAAATAATTCTGTGGCAAAACGAGTTTACAAACAATAGGCACCAATCTAGGGCTTAGTGAGTTGCACAACTCATGAAGGGTTAATGTGGTGACATCATCAAAAAGTTCGTCCATTTAGACCTCACACACGACTTTGATGAGCTTTGGCCCTTGGCATTGTAGTTGAGATTGAGTCGAGTCCCATCTAGCTATTGTAACTTTTAAAATACATTTGATTGTCAATATTTTTCATGGAAAAGTTATTTTTTTCATCCAAATTCCTACTTTTAGACTGTTTGATTGACATTTTTTCAAGAAAAATATTTTCCTATTTTTGATCATGTGGCAATATTTTTTTCAAAATAAAAAAAAAGTAAAATTTTATTTTCCGGGGAATTCACTTTCTCTTTCTCTCTCTTATCTATCCCCTATCTCTCATTTACACACAAATAAAAATGGACAATCATAATATTTTTTAGGTTGAAAATTAAATCAATCAAAAATATTTAGGTCTTGTTTGAGCCCCATTTTCGAGAGAAAATAAATTTTTGAATAGTGTATTGATGGGAAATGTGTGGTTAAAAAATAAGTAAGAGTTTTAGATTTACGTGTAATATTATTTTATTTAAGAATGTGTGTGAAAATAATGTCAATACACTGTTTAAGAATGTAATTTTTTTTTTTTAAAAAAAATGGGGCTCAAACAAGGGCTTAATTGACAATTTCTGTGCATATAAATTCTAGGTAATTGAATTGCTTAGAATTTATTTTCTTTGCAAATTTCATGTTTGCAATCAAATGCACCCCTAATGTTGTTGTTGTACTAGGTTGCTTGTTATATCATTTAATTTGATTTATAAATTCGCACTCAAGAAAATAGTTAGTTGGGGACAATGAAGATACACAGTGACATGGTGATGCATCAAGTTTAGTTAATTTTTCAAATTTATTCAAGAAGAATATCATTGCTTGTGTTGTATCATAATGAACAGATTATTTATTTATTTATTTTGGGACTCCAGATACCCTCAAAGATGAAAAAGATTCTATCCTGCATTACTATTCTCAAAATTTGTTTTAAGAATAAGGATTAGAGATAAACTTGAATTGTGTTAACTCATGGTTTTCCATTGGGTTTTTCAATTGCCTGCTGTAAACAAGTAAAGGCAAACAAGCTTTTGGTGTGGACTTAATTAAATAGCCCGTGATCTAAATTAAACAGTTTTAAGAGTAAGGAAAGCGATTGACCCAAGTATTATTAATACTTTTTATTTTATTTTTTTTGGCCTATTTGTACAAAAATTTGTGCCATTTTTCACTTACAAGAGCTTCCATGCTTTACCTCCATTCATATTGAATTTTTTCAGTCTTCCAGAAAACATGACAAGAATGAGAATTATTTTTCCCTCATCACTCCATTTTCCGGAAAATCCATACCATTTGTTCGTACAATTTGCTTGAGGCCGTAGTTGACGCTCACAACTATAGCCAGTTGTGAAGCCCACATTTCCATTAGCACTGCAATTATATTGCAAAATCACAAGTTAATAAAGAATAAAATTAACACAAAATTTTGCTGCTTCCATCATTATCGACTTTCATTATAAAAATATAAGCGGACCATATTAGATTTTAGTTTCTCTTTTTTAATTTTTTTTTTTAATAAACTGTTTTTGTCTTCAGTTATTATAAACTGTTTATAATATACCAAACCATTCTCCTCGCATTTCGAGTGAGTCACAAGAAATTCCCACTAATCCACCACTTTCCAAACATGCTTGTCCATTAAGACTAGAAAATGAAGAAAGTCTACTTCCCTTGATTGTGTAGAGGAGCCCTAAGATGCAGCGATCTTATGGCAATGATAAAGTGCTTCCCGCCAGATCCTGTTCTGGACCTGAGTAACTTAAATCTCCTTAATTGAATTTAATCATTTATTACAATTCAGGAGTTATTTGTGATCAAGATAAATTACTGGAATATCTGGTCTTAGTTTGACAATTTTATAAATCAATTTATAAATAAGAATGCATGGATAATAAATAAGTTGTAGTTATGAATGTGAAAAAATGAATATTTGGCTTTGAATTAATGTATAAACCAATTTAAAGATTTATTGCCGACCATCAATGTATGAAAGAACAGATATTTCTCATGAAAATGGGACTTTTTCTCAACTATTGCTGTCATGTCAACAATGGAAAGTCGACTGGTAAGCCACCAAATTGAGCAACTTAATTTGGTACTCTGGTAGGTTACATATAATCATGGTGATTGTGCTTATTAATTTTCTAATAGTTGTAATCGTTGGATTTTCCTAAGTCTGTCAATAATGGTCGAATTTTTGTTGGGAGAACAAAACTGTGATTAAATATAATCATGGTACAAATTAAAGAAACCGAGAGAAGTAAAATTTTACCTTATAACTTCGATTACGATATTGAGCACACTGAAGTTGATGGGATCTTCTTTTATGCTCTTTCTTTCTGTAATACAAATGAGAATAATAAAGATAACGAGATAAGAAAGCTGTGAAAATATGAGACTTTCAGCAATCCATTTTCTTCTTCTCTCTGTCCCTTCACGCTCAAGAGAGCTATGTTCATCCCCCTTAACTGGTAGAAATGATGTATATGGTGGAAGGTACCTGCCAATAAGTTCACCACGATTACGACAATATTTGTATATGCTCATCGGAGAAACATGTTTCCTATGTTTATTCTATACAGTTGTTATTCTAGTTATGAAATTTGTCGTGCATTTTTAGTATTACTGCGGAGTACTAAATGGGACGTGATGAATATTAGATTATAATTATTTGTTAATACTTCTCTAACAAAAATGTTAATTATTTATATTCAACATGTAGCACTGAATTGAGGCTCCTTTGAGACAATTTTTTGAAAGGCCAAAAGCTACTTATGAAATTAAAAACTGCACATGAATTTGCTTGTATAATTTTGGAACTACTTTGTCTAGTTATAAGAGTTAGAGAAATCCAACTAATAAGGCTTTCTGGAGAAATAATTCTATAAATTGGCTTTAAACATATCCAAACTTATGCCCCTTGACCTCAATTTAATCTTTAAAAATTGAAAATATTGTCCTATTAACAAGCCAGCTGCAAGTTATCGAGTGTTGAAACATACAATTTAGCTCCCGTTTAATGGCCATTGTTTTGTCAAAATAATGTTTTGAATAGTGGATTTTTGGAAAAATGTGAGGTTAAAAAGTAAGAAAAAATTTAAATTTAAGTGCAGAATATTTTATTTTGTGAATGTATAATTGAAAATGAGTATGTACAAAATAAATAAAAAAAATTAAACAAACCCCATCAAATAGGAGGCTTAAGAGTTGCATCATTATTCTAACCCAAAGGACACATTAAAATATGCAGTCAGTGTCAACTTGGAAACTATAAAAAATTAAAATGACTTCTTTGGGTGTGTGTATGTGTTAGAGATATTCGCATCATATCTAATAATTTCTTTTCTCGAACCAGAGAAGCAATTCACTCAAACTGACTACAATATATTTCTCTAGATTTGGCAATTCATAACAAAAGACCTTGCTTAGAAATTGTCAGCCGAAAATGATACTATTCGAGTTTTTTCAGTTCGATTCGAGTTACCAATTAAAATCAGTTTCTGGTGTATTTAGGAGTCGGGTAGATGAAATTAATTATAGTACAGAATGGAGTGGTGGTTGAAAGAAGAATTCAGGTCAATTAACAATTTCGTAGATCTTGTATGGTTCTTTCCTTTGCAAAAGTCGAATTTACATGTATTGAATCTTTAAGTCACTATCAACTACCCAGTTTCATGCATGAACGTGGCTTTAGCTACATAATTTTGTTTGTGTTTATATGTTGCATCTAATAGAACTCATAAAATGTTTGCACACGCGTGACAAAGGGGGAGAGAGAGACTAACATCATAACAACGAAGAACACCAAAATGGCTGGTGCGATTGTTGACAGATCGACAATAGTTTCACCGCTGTGCCTTGCATTAACTGTTTCAAAGAGAATGCCAATGACTTTCTGATAAGTATTGAGTCCACCCAAACCTTCTGAATTCCACTCCAGAGAGCAGAATAGTAAGAACCCTGTGAGAATAAACCCGAGCACTGTGGCTACTAGGAGCGATGAATGCAGGCTGGGGAGCAAATGGAGGTACCCGACTTTTGTTGTATTCTTCAACAGGTATTTGGCCTCAGACTTTTTGATTTTCTTTCCCAAAACCCATAAAAAAAATCTCAAACACGATGGAAATAATGTGTTCCCAAGAAGGACTTGGGGAATAAGAATCCACAAAAGCCCTGAATTCTTGCTAAAAACTATCATGTTTTCATTTGTGGGCACAAAACCACAACTAGCAAAGGTTGAAACTACTGTAAAGACAGCAAAAGTTAATGCCTTGATACCCTTGTTTCTTAGTATATCTTTTGCACTTGAAAAAAGGGCTAGATACATTAAAACAGATGCAACACCTAATATTTGAATTACCAGAAGATAACCCAAAACTACGAAGCCCAAAAATTTGATTGAATTGTAGTTAAGCATGTTATAATATGGTGATGAGACATAATTTTGAGGCTCGAGCGGGTGTGCTCTATTGTCTGGGACTGGCTCTATACTTAACTGAATTTGATCAACGGAATTGGTGAGATCAACAGTAGTTCCTTTTCCTTCACTATTCCATGTTATAATCTTGGACCTCTTTAAATGAAGTCCAACCATGGAAGTGAAAATTTCACCCCCTACGAACATCAAGATGGTCATAACAATTAATTGCGCGTTAGAGAAGGCCTCCATTTCGACTGTGGACATGCTTGAGACTGTGATAGCAGACACGGATGTGAAAAACAAATCTATGTTCCTAGGCCTAAACTCGGTTCTTGGCTTTAAATCCTTAAGAACCCAAAATCCTAGAAAGGATAAGAAGACAAAATAAAAAACCTGGAACCCAAATGGGTTTATGAGATGAACAAAATTGCGGTAAAAACAACTGACAACAAAACATGTTGACTGCCAAGAACAAGTAGAAAGATGTTGCAATTTCTCTCCATTATAAGAAAATTTGTACATCTTCAACTTATTTGAACAATACTATGCTCTTTGTTAACAAAGAAACTTAGAAACAATGTGGCTTATATAAGACAAGTTATCTTGTACGACATCATTCTTTCCAATGCAGTTGAAAGTCTTGGAACTTTTTGTGCATATTAAATTAAACTAAACAAAACATAAATTATTAGTAGCATATTCAGTTGCATGGTCAGTAGTGCCAATTAGAAATATTCGTACTCTCATTTTTAGCTCCCCAGCCAAAAGGCTAGAATGTTTGATGCCGGACATTAAAATTGGTGTAAATTAAGTTTCATTTATGAATATTTGAAGATGGGTACGATGGTTGTTACTATATAAGCGCCTTTTTTTTTTTTTTTGAAACCATACATGCACATTTTATAGATTTATTTATTATTGCTCACTTCTTTAAACTTCTCCTTCAATCTCAACTACATTATATAAGAAACAACATATAATCTAGACATTTATGCCTATTATTCACACAAATTAAGACTAGTTAATTGTAAGACATTTTTGTTTTCTAGACCAACTTTTCCGTTCCAAATTCAACTTCTCAGTTTGCTTTTTCATTTTTCATTAACGTAATATTCTTCCACACAATCTCATATTTGTCGATAATAGAGAGGGTTGGCCTTGATGCCAAGAGGTGTGGCCGCACAGGACACCATACACATTTAAAGCTCAAGTGGAAGTGAATATTTTGAAAAATGATTTTTAGAGAATGTGTGGCTAAAAGTAGGGAAAAGTTATAAGAACACGTGAAAATTATTATTTTTTAGAATGTGATTGAGAATGAGTGGAGAAAAGTGATTATGAAAGAACAACTTTCACAAGCACATAATGAGAGGGATATAATTCAATCATGCTATTTAAATAGGAAAATTTGATGAAAAATGGTTATAGACACGACTTGGCATTTAGTCACTGGAAGATAAAAAATTAAAAAAAGGCGAATCACAGTTCACTACGTTCGCATTGTCAATATCTTCTATCAAATTTCCCTGTTTGAGTAGTTTAATTCTATTTAATTTTCAACTAACAAATGTAGCCCATTTATAAATTATAAGAAAATTTTGATATATAAATGGACTGTATTTGTAAGTTTCCTATTATTATGACCTACCTCTCCCAGAGATTACTCCATTCACTTGCAAAAAAATCCTGTTGATTCCCAACTAATTGAACCCAAAATATAATATCAATATTTTCTCTTTCATTTCAAAGTTATAAACAAATGTTCATACATTCAACCTCGCCAAAACATTTTGAGAAAAGGAGAATAACTCCATGAATGTGATAAGAAAATGCAACTCTAAGTTGCAGATTCTTTCTATAGTTCTTCCAACTATTATCACAATCTCCAGTCAAACTATGATAATGACATGGGAAATAAGCAAAATAATTCGCTAATTTTAATCAATTTTGTTTTATGAATTATTTATGAATTTTTTTAATAAATTGTCTGTAATACTTTGAAAAAAAAATTCAAAAAAAAAAAGAAAAAGAGGAAAAAAAAGAAGGAAAAAAAGGGAAAATTTACCAATATTTTAGGAATTAAGTGCTCTATCCTATTAGGCTTGAATTTCTCAATTTTGAAAGGTAAGTAAAAAGTTACTTATTGTTAAGTTATGTTTGATTTTATAGTTGTTAGATTGTTAGGTTAAATTTAATTTTATTGAAGGGGTTGAGTGTAATAAACTATGAAATTGAGTAAAATGAAAGAAAAATTAATTTTAGTAATTAAAGAGATTTTAGAAATCGCCTAAACGTGAAATAATTATGTTTGGGTATCACCTATTTAATTATTGAAATTACTTAAATTAGTTAATTGTTGATTTAAAAATTATATTATATTTCAGGCGGCGATACAGATATCAAGACAGCGTACCAATCGAGTTGATTTTGGCGTACATAGTTCTGTGAGTGGAAAAATATAAATATTTTTAAAATATTTATAAATTAAGTATATTGTCAAAGTATGTGCAATTATGTGTTCGAATTATATATTTATAATGGAAATCTCTTTTATTGTGATACATGTGAAATATCAAAGATTATTTATGGCATATTTGTGACTTGGTACATAAGACATGTGATATTGAAATTTGTTTGTTATGTGAGACATGTGATCTTGAGATCGGCCAGAAAAGTACTCATGATTATATACTTCTAGTTCACAGAGGGGCCTTGGCCGTGTTCTATCCTACACGGAGGGTCTTGACCTGACATTGGTCTTGATCGTGTACATATAGTTTACAGAGGGGCTTTGACCGTGTTCTAGAATTGATTAAGAGAGGTCTTTGAAATTGACTTTCGTTCACGGAGAGGCTAAAGGCCCGCGGTGAAAGTTCTTAGACCGAGGGGCGGATTATATATTTGAGTCAGAGGGTACATTTTTTATGAATTTTTCAGCGCGTTTGATGTAATGAGATTATAGCATGGTTATCAACTGATACTTATATTATGATTTTGAGATGATATTTTACGACCTTATGTGAATATTTCACCTTCGGTTACAATTACATGATGTTATCTTGTGAATTATCAAATGATATGAATTTGATTTTCGATAGAAAAAAAAAAAAAAAATTTACTGTACGTTACTATTAATTCCATACAGTACCAAAAAAAAATTGTGTAACAAAAAAATTATCAACTATTTCTTGAATCAAAATTTTATTTTGTCAGAACAAATTCCAATTCAGGAACCACTTTCTTAAGTTAAAAAAAAAATCAAAATCAAAGTTGTCCAGTTCAATTCCTTTTTGAGTTTTGGAACCACAAATTTCACACAACCCAATTAAAAATCAAATCAATGTTTGAAAGGATGGTACGGATGTTTGAGAAATTACTTGGAGATATGGAAGATACAATATATAGGATGGATTCAAAATTGAATGAATTTCGTAGGGATCAATGTGTTGAGGTGTCTAATGTGCGGGGACGGGATAAATTGGAGCATAAGATGAAAAGTTGTGAGACATATGGATATGGTTGTGATGTGGATGATGATGCGATGTTTAGGACTAATTTACGGGGAATGAAAAATAGAGGCGATAGGCTTGTAGGACGGGATAGAAATTATTTTGGATATGGTGTAGATTGGAGTATAAAAACGATAATTCCAAAATTTAAGGGCAGGAATGATCCGAAACATACGTGGCGTGGGAAGAAAAAGATTGTTTGATTACTATGAATATTCCAAGGAGAACGAGTTGAAATTTGTTGTGAGCTTATTCATAGATTATGCAATAACTTGGTGGGATGAGTTTACGATATCTAGGGGAAGGTATGGTGAGGGGCGTATTAAAACTTGGGATGAGTTGAGGCATATTATGAGGAGACGATATGCGCCAAATCATTATAGGAGGAATTGGCGAGAAATGGAATTTGGGGAAAAGACTAGGAGATGTTATGGGGAAGAGTATCCGAGGGAAAAGAAAACAACTATTGCGAGGTGTGCGGGTAGGACATCAAGCAAGAGTGTTGGGTTGGATTATAAACGGGAATTGGCGGAGATTCGTGACTTGATAAGTTCTCAAATTAACCACATGGCAGAGCAAAGGTGTAAAGGAGAAAATTTTGAGGTGGTTATTATGAGAAAAAGGGTGTAGAGCTACGAAAAAATGAAAAGAAAGCTGATAGTGAAAATGAAAAGATGAAATTGGAGTTACGGGGAGAAAATGAAGAAGAGTCTTCAGAGATGAAAGAAGGGTTAGAAGTGTGCTTAAATGGAAGGGAGAGTGGAGTTGAGGAGGCGTTGGCGATAACTAACAATTCGCTCCCTATTTTAGATAATTCTGTTTTACAGGTTATCGAAGATTTAATTCGAGAAATTAATTCAACTTGAATCCCTTACAAGCCGAAAATCGAGCATCAATTGGTGGATAAAATTTAGCAATAATATTTTAACTTGGAGATATCTCATTTATCGGAAATTGAATTTGTGATTCCCAAGAAGACAAAGGAGTTTCAAAGGCATTGGTCAAAGTTCATATGTAGAGAGTCGAATGAAAAAGATGAACTGAGGGTTAACATTGGAACATCGGCAGTGACATTGTTTCAAGTGCATGGGCCAAGTAAAGTAAGGAGAATGCATGGATATTCATCAGATGGAGTTGTTATTGGAGCATTCCAAACTTGCAAGACCAAGTAGTTGAGGGGAGCATACTTTGATCCAGGTGAAGGTGATTGGGTTTACTGTCGAAGGCGATGAGTTCGAGTTCAAAGGAGGTCCAAATTACGTCCGAGAGGTGATGGGCCATTTCATGTTCTTGCCGTGATCAGAGATAAAGACTACAATTCGGATGATCAAGGTTCAGATTCAAGAGATAATCCTTTCGAGAGAGAGGGAATGATGTGATTCGCATAAGGAAGTTTCGAGACAGAATTTTCAGAAATTTCGCTAGTTTCCTATTTTGATTAGAAGTCCAATCTTTTGCCATATTTAAGTTATATTGGACTTTTTTTTCCAATTTTAATTAGACTCTAGGGTTTTAGTATAAATAGGGATTATATTTTCCATTGTATCCAGAACTTTTGACATGATGAATTAAAATAGAGAATTTTTTCTCTAAAAGCTTTGCTTCAATTCTTGTTCTGGATGGAACGAAATCAAACTTATCAAGATTAATAGTCTTGAAGCGTTCAAACTTGAATTTTGATTTTATAATTCTTTGTAATCAAAAGGTTGGCATATCTATATGATTGTGATGGTTGTTTGATTCAGTGTTATTGGGTTAGATCTACAAAACCAAATGATATTCAATTAATTTGCGTAATCAGTCCGCACATTTTCAGTGATTCGGATTGTTTGGTTCCAAGTTCGTTGGGTTTAATCCAAAACCTTGCTTTGGCTTTCTTGAGGATGATTTCAATCTTGATTGTGAGTTTGGTCGCGATTGACTACACGGGTTCACATCAACATATCTCTAAAGGCTACATGTAAAAGGAATGCCTTGATAATCTCGATACATATTCACCTGTTATAAGAATTACTTCCATCCATATGCCTAT